TAAAAAAAAAACACAGAAAAACAAACAATCAAAAAAGCAAACAAAACTTATTAAGGCTGGTTTGTGCTATTTGTGGAGAGACAATTGCAAAATCGAAAGGCATCAAGTGTACAGTTAGTAGATAAATATGGACTTGTTCAAAGGGAATAATCTCTCAACAAAAAGAGAGAGGAAGAGAACCACTCTGTTTCCGTAGGCACGTTGGGGATTATTCAAGTTCATTTTATTGAGGCAGAGGGGAGAAGGGTGGTCTTTTAGTAAGATCTGTTGCAGCTTGCCACTATTCAGGTTCCCAGTTTAGGAAATTATCCTGTTTCCATGAGAGAGTAGGCAGTGGATTGCTCTCCTACCATTTTGACCAAGAAAACATCACTGAGTTAAGGCCAGTGAGGCCCACATTCAGTACAATGGCATTTTTTTTCTGTGTGTTAAATCAATAACTCTTGAAAAATTGCATCCAGTTGATTCAGACTTTGGGAAATTATCTAGGTGTCATTTCTCATGCTTCAGAGTGAGACCAGAAGAGGTAAAACAGGAATTTATGCCTTTTAAAATACATATTCTAACTGATAACTGATTTAGACCTTGAAGTCCTTTGTTTAGAACAGTGATCTCCAACCTTTTTAAGCACAAGATTACTTTTTGAATTAAAGTGCAACCCAGGATGTACCTCAAAGAAAAGTGTAGAAACAACAGTTTATTAGAGTTACAATTTTTCCAGTATCAAAAAAGAGGACACTAGCAGGCAGGAAGGGAAATGGGGGGATATATGATGGGGGGCAGTGATATGCCTATGCCTGCCTCTGCTCCTCACTCCCAAGCCCCTACACCCCCAATGCTGCCTGTGCCCTGCAGACCCCTGCCCCTCACTTCCGACCCGCAGCCCCTGCCCACCCCCAGCTGTGTGGTTCACACAACACACGTGCACAGTCTCTCTCTCTCTCTCTCTCTCTCTCTCTCTCTCTCCCCTGGGAGTTTGCCGAGGCCCACATGCAGACCATGTGACCCCCCAACAGCCAATCACCTTGCCTGCTGTTTCCAGCCCCAAGCAGCCAGCCTGAGAAAGCAGAGGCAAAGCAAAAACCTGGATATTTGCTCACATTTCAAAAACCTGCCCGGACATGAGGATAGGGGTCCAAAAAAAGGGGACATGTCTGGGAAAACCCGGATGTATGGTAACCTTAGGACTGAGACCGAGATCGACTGGTCAGTCATGGAGCCTCTGACTATTGCGATCTACTGGTTGGTGACTACTGGTCTAGAAGGACAATGGATCTTTGTAGTATTTGCATGGTTTCTAGTACTACTGCAGCCTTTTAAGATATTTTGGCACTGAGATTTTTCAAACCATGGGTAAAATTAAATGGTCAAACAGCAAGTAGACTAGTATCCATGCTATAAAACACACACTGTCTTCAGAGCAGGATCAGCTCCACCAGGCTATGTGCTAGTGCACTTTATTTGTGTCCACAAATAGTTGGACCTCAGGGATAACTCCCTGCTGCTCCTGGGATTTCTGGAGTCTGATCCTGTGGAACAGCCCAGGTACTACACGCAAGTTGGGGCCTAGCAGCAAGATGCTCACGCCAAGGAAATTTCCAGGGAATATAACTGCAAGTGTGGGAGCCCCTATATATGTTTTCCTGCTTGAAGATGCACACCCCAAGTTGCAGCTAAGCAGCACCCCAATAAGCACACTTGTGGAAATCCTCTACGGGGGGATTCTCAGGACATGTAATCAACAGACTAATACATCACAAACTGACTACATTTTGTTGGGGCAGTATTTTGGGGCCTTGCAGTACAACAAGGGACTTGGACATCTTTTTATTTGCAACTTCTGTTGACATAAAAGCATTTCTGGTGGCATAAGGGTAGCATCTGTTTGAACCCTATGCAAAATTTTAGAGAGATTTTGTTAGTTTGTATAGTGTTGCCTACTCTAGAAGTAAAACCACTGCAAATCTTGTGAGTTCAGTGTTGCTGTTTCTACAAGGCTTTGAGGAGTAATGGAGATGGACCTAACCCTCAGCTGCTGATAACACAGGAAAAAGTCTCTCCCCTAATCTCTTTAATAAAACTAGCCATGTGGAAAGATCAGGTAGATCTATGCCCAACTTTCAAAGAACAGTCAAAACCTTGCCTAAACCATTATAGCATTGTACATAGGCTTCCTGGAAGTTCTCCATAGTGCAGAATATGACAGTCTTCAGGGAAAGATGAATCTGAGCAAACCGTATGGAAATTTGGCAATATGCCCATCAAGTGATGATTTTTGTGTTTTTGCCTTGTAAAGTCCAGTTGTGAGTCAGCTTCTATTTTTTTAAACACTATAATCCATTCTGCATTCAGAACCTGAAGCTTTAATGATAAGTCAACGGCCAAAGACAATAGATGGCTTCCCTGCTAGCGTGATAGGCATTTTAACATCATGGTATTGAATTCAAATTACTTTCCAACCAAAAGCCGTCAGAGCAGGTTTGGAATCTGGAACTTCCCCAATGGAAAAGCATGGATGCAAAAAACATCTGCTTCTGGAGAGGAAATGGATTCCACTGGAGAATTCAGTAGAAATTGTACAGCATGCTATTGTCTAGGCTTTCTGCTCAGTGCTGGTTTACCTAAGTCTGCCATTTTCATTTGAGAGACTCTCCATCTTCATAAAAAACAGTTTGGGATACAGGTTGTCTTTTAAATCTAAGCCATGTAAAATGTGCCAGGATAAATTTGGTGGCTGTATGTAAAGCTTGCAGTAATAGCAATCTGAATATTTTTCATGCAGTAATCCAATTATTATCTGTGGGTTTAGGCAGCTTTATTTCCTTGATATATAGACAATGTACAATAAAGAAATGTTCCTTCTTTTACTACCGTTAGCATCCAATCAGCAAAACTCTTTTCCAAAATGGGCATTAAAACAATCTGGCATTTTAAGTTTTATTTAATTGGAATGATTTCCATTTAGCATGTGCAAGTAATATAAAAGTGAATTTTATAATTAAATTGCAGTTGTTATACATATAACAAAGCTGTCTTCCCTAATCAAGCTCATTGGAATGTGCCAGTTATTTCAAAATAAAAGATAAGATGCAAAGAGTGGCAAAAAGGTAGAGCTAAACCCATCTCATTTTCTCCTGGCCATCTTCCCTCCTCCCCCCCACAACACCCCCTTATTAGTTTTTCTTATTTACTACTTCATATTTAAAGAGTCAAAGCAACTCAGCATTAAAATAACTTTTATTCACCCAGTTTATTGAAAGAGCTGACCATTTGCTGTAGCAACCCAATATGAAACAATTAGGTATACAGTCCTGAGGCTGGAAAGGACATCAGGGGTCATTTAACCCCCTGCATGAATGCACGATATGCTGTTCCTAAATCATCCCTGTCAAAAGCTTATCCAGCCTTTTCTTGAAAGGCTCTAATGAAGAGATTCTACAGCTTCACTAGGCTGCCTTTTCTGTCGTCGTACTGTTCTGGCATTAAGGGAGTTTATTCTGAGATGTAATCTTAATCTGCTTTCCTGCCATTTAAATCCATTGCTTTGTATCTACCTCTGCAGAGAGTGAGACCAATTGTTCAAGATGGTCGTTATGGTGTATTTTTTATGACCACCTTTCAGTTATTTAAAAACTACTATCATATTCTCTTCTCCCAGCTAAACATACCTAGTTCTTTCAACATTTCCTCATATGGCTTGTATTCCAATCCCTTTATCATCTTTGTTCCTTGTTTCTGGATCTTGTCCATCTTATCTACATCCTTCTTAAAAATGCAAAGCCTAGAACTGCATACAGTACTCTAGCTGAGGCCTAACCAGTGCCAAGTAAAGGGGTACTATTACCTACCATGTCTTGTATACAATACTCCTGCTAATGCAGCCCCAACTCCCCTGCTTTTTTTTGCTCACTAGTTGAGTTTTTGATTCTCCCTCACACCCCCAAGATTCCTTCTCATGGTAAAACTGAAGTTTTCTGTCCTTTTTTAAGCAGATACATTCACACATATCTATACTCATGACTGTTAAAGAAACAGCTGCCTTGTCGTTTCATAGTAGCTAGAGTCAGGAGGGACCTGAACAGATCATCTAGCCTGACCCCCTGCCACAGGCAGGAATGAATGCTGGGTTCACAAGACCCCAGACAGGTGATCGTCCAACCTCCTCTTGAATTTGCCCAAGGTAGGGGCAAGGACCACCTCCCTGGGAAGTTGGTTCCAGATTTTGGCCACCCTAACTGTAAAATATTGCCTTCTGATCTCTAACCTAAACCTATTCTCCATCAGCTTATTACCTTTGCTCCTCGTCACCCCAGGTGGTGCTGGGAAGAAAAGGGCTCTACCTATTTGCTGTTTATCTCCCCCAATGAGCTTGTAAGCAGCCACCAGGTTCCCCCTCAGCCTCCTCTTGCCGAGGCTGAACAGGTTCAGGTCCCAAAGTCTCTCCTCATAGGGCCTGTCCTGCTGCCTTCTCACCAAGCAGGTGGCCCTCCTCTGAACCCTCTCCAGGCTGGCCACATCCCTTTTGAAGTGCAGCGCCCAGTACTGGACGCAGTACTCCAACTGCGGCCTGACCAAAGTTGCATAGCGGGGAGTATCACCTCTCTGGACTGGCTTGAGATGCACCTTTGGATGCATGACAAGGTATGGCTGGCCTTGCTGGCTGCAGTCTGGCATCGGCAGCTCATGTTCATCTTGGAGTCAATAATGACTCTAAGATCCCTTTCCGCCTCTGTGCTTTCAAGAGGGGAACTCCCCAGCCTGTATGTATGCTGTGGATTCCTTCTCCCAAGGTGCAGCACCCTGCATTTATCTACGTTGAACCCCAAATAGGAGTTTGCCTTCTATTCCTGACTTAGTTGCACCAACTTTTTTCATCGTTGCTTGTCTGATGTTCACTTACTCTTTACACTGCATATGAATATATAACATACGCTAAACTTTTGAAGCTGTTTTAAGATTCTTCTTTCTTGTTGATATACATGGATTTTGTGTTTTCACAGAAAATGTTGTTCCAGCCTCTGAGATCGTTGCTGTAGAAGAAACCGAAATTGATAAGAAGCAATGTGATAGTGGAAAATGGCAAAAAATGTCAAAACTGCATGCTTTCACAGGTATAGTAACTAATCCTATTCTTGAAATCTAGTATATAATTTAGTCCTGTTAAAGCAATTAGGAAACTTTTTAAAAGGCCTTCAGTCTAAAAGGAAGTTATGAAAAAAGCTTTTATAAAAAAGAATGTGACCAATAGCTTTCTTTTACTATTAAAATGCTTTTAAAAAGACATTTTTAATTATCTATGGTTTTGTATTTAGTTCTGTAATTAAATCATAACCCTTGTTTTATTATACCTCTCTCGCCAGGCAAATAATTGTAGCAGTATAGATTCTCTGCTAATTCACTAGAGAATTGAATAAAAGCTATTGGGAAATGAGTCCTAAATAAACTTGGCCCTTGTCAAACTTGGGTCTGTCCAGCTTTTCTGCCAAGCTTGAGAATTCTCACATATTTTGTATGCAAGTACTTCAGTCATACATTGAAGTGAGGTCTGACAGTAATCCAGCCTCATTAGTGATGTGATGTCAACTCTTTTCCCCCAACCCCAGAAATGTGGCATGCCCAAACCTTGTGTTGGAGGACTAGAGTCCACAGACAAGCATTCATTTTTACTGGTAAGGATTTCTCTGAAGTTCTTACAGGTAGAAAAATAGGCTAGGGGCCAGAGTGTACATGCATTTCAGCCCTTTCGCTGGCGAGCTATGCAGATGAAGTGTGGCAGGCTGTCAGCAGGCAGCTCCCTTAGGTTTTAAGTCACCTCTTTGACAGCCTACATGAGGTGCACACAGCGTGACACCCCATGCTGGAGGTGTGGAGAAGTGGGGCCATGGATAGCCTCTCTACCTTTGGGCCCCAGCTTTTAAATTGCTGTGTGTGCCACCCACCTGGGCAACACATGTGGAATTTAAAGTGGCAGGGCTGTGAATCAGGGTGGTGAGCCAGAGAGGTTAGTATTTAAAGCCTGGGGACAGAGAACCAAAATGGAGGGAGGTGAGGTAGGTAATCTTCTAGCTCCCAGTTGTACCCGGGGAGTTCCAGGATGGCTCCAGCTGGACCTGCACCTGCACCAGCCTTTCTGCCCCCATCCTCTGGTCTCCTCCAAATTATACCTCCAGAATGAACTGGAGGAGTGCCCTGGGCAGAGGCACTCTTTCTCATCAGGACCCCTCCAGGGCTGGAGGAGGGTTTCCAGGTCAGGAGAATGGCCCTGCATACTGCAGGTAAGTTGACTGGTGGGATAGGGGTGGGGTTCCCACAGGGTTCCATGACAGCTTGACTCTGAGCACTTTCTCTCTCCTTCTGTTTCCCTTGGACAGCAGGAGGAGAAACAGATATTGGGTGTCCTCAACCCCCAAGAGAAGTGGGCAGCCATTCAAGTTAATACAGGCAGGGAGAGTTCTTCCTGGTTGGAAGAGGTAGTACTTTCTTGTGAAAGATCCTTTTTTTCTTCTGCAGGAAAGCCTTTGAATGGCTGTATGCTGTCTTTGTGCTAGGAGAGGCTGTTCTCCTGGCGCAAGCATAATGTCAGTACTGTGTGGCCAGAACATATTCTTCAAGTCTTTAGGTGTATTTATTACTCATGAGAGAGAGTTCCTTCCTGGTTCTCTTCTCCTATACACACATACTACCAGAGAGGACTAACATTGACTTTTAAAAGTTTTTTTTTTTAATTGCACTCTATTCCTTTAGTCTCTCTGTCATCTAGTGTGAAATGGGAGATTCTGAGCCCTATGCATTTTAAAAAATATTTATTACTTGAACTTTTCAAATTTGAAATGATGTATTTTTTCAAAACAAAAATTCAGGCACATGAATAGAGTAGTTTTTGCATTTCTCAAATCATTTCTGTAATTGGTTTCTGGAAAAAGTAGTATTTGTTTTTAAAGTTCGTTTTCAATATTTGAGCAGGAACTGTAATTTGAATTTAAAAGGAATTACTGTGATTATGTTTTTGTTATCTGGTGATGTGAAACACATTTTTTAACACTTTTTATATGAAAGTTTTCATTTCTCATCATTCCAATAGAAAAATGTTCTTGGAAGGAATGGTCATAATTTTGTAGCCATTAATGCCTTTTCATTATGTTTTAGTGTTTAAGCATGAATACAAGCTACAAAAAGTGTATTTCAGACTTCATACAGAACTTATGGGATTAAATTGACTTCTTTTGACAGTGCATTATATTAAAAGAGCACGAAACCACCGCTGGCGGTGCAGTGAAATAACTTTTTGGTGCATTGATGAACAGCTGTGTAACCAGTGGATACAGGCACTTAAAGAATTACTTGATTCACAGAGTAAGTTGAGTAAATTACTCTAATAAACATTATTTTCAAGGTACATGAAGTAGGTTAGTTAAGATTTTGACACATCTCTTAGAACTATCTTTTATATCTTCCCAAGGAAGGGAATGTGGAATTGGCTTGCAGCCTAGCCTATTTGAAGTAGAATAACAGGCATGGAGAAGCTTTGCTTATGGAAATGCTGGCAAAGGACCCTGACCTCTGTGTGTGCAATATACATATACAGGGGATCATGCTGTCGTATAACCGCCATCCGAACTTTAGTTTAGCCTCCCCTAACTTTATTAGCTTCAAACATACATGCTGACTTTTAGCTCCTGTTTTCTGTCTTCCCACCCTTCTCCCCTCATATTTCTCTTGTCGATTGGAAAGCCAATGACGTAAGGATTATGCTTTTTTGTGTGTGTTTGTATAGCACTTAGAAGCTCTTTTGTTATCAGGGCCCCACCATGCTAAGTTCAAGTCAAATGTAGGTATATAGTTATAGTAAATTTTGCCAAAGGCTTGGGAAATGAAAACCTATGTCTGTTACAAGTAACTAAAGACGTGCTAACTTTTCCTCCCATGGTAAACCAAGGTAGTATCCACATAAGTGTCATCTTCAAAGTGCTTGCCAATTGCTGGCCATTTAACTACTATGTTTGAGAGAAGCTTTCTATCCCTATTATAACACAAATTCAAAGAATCATCATCAAATCATAGAAAAATTAGGGCTATTTAGCAGGTCATCTAGCCCCACACCTGGATACAACAGGATGATTTCTAATCTACGCCATTCTAGGCAAGTGTCAAAAGAAAGCAAAATCACTCCATTTGTGTATGCTCTCCTTATCTTAATTGTAAATTTCCTTAATGTGCAAAACCTTAATATTAGCTTAATTCTAATTTGAGAGATCACTTTTTAATGACTAAATTGCTTTACTACTACTAGCCATGAGCTGTCCAGAAGCTACAAGCTTGAACCCTTTTCCTTCTGTGGTTGTAACCCAACAGGGGTTAGCAGATCATCTAACTTGCTTTCATATATAACTCAAACCATGGCATTTAATCCAGTTGTATCTCTCTACTTTATGATTTCCATAAGGCTTCTGGAGCTGGTACATACTTCCTGGGCATATGCCTGGGCAAGACCTGATATTGTCAGCCAAGTTTTCCTTCTCAGTTAAGGGAACTGCAGTACTTCTGTTTTGGATGTAACACATACTAGACACGTATGTACACATGAGAGGCTGGCTGTGCAGTAGGCCAATACCACTAAACAGTAGCGTTGCGTGGCAAAAACCGCGATACAGTGTTATTGCGCAGTAGTATTAGGCTATTGCGCAGTAGTGTCATAAAACTGTTTGTCGGCACTACTGCACAGTAACTCGGGTTACTGTGCAGTCATTTAGTACTTGTGTAATACTAGTACTTGTATTGAGTACTTGTTTATACAAGTACTAAATGACTGCAAAGTAACGACTGCGCAGTCAGCGTCTCGGTAGACGTGGCCACTGTTTAGCAATTGTTCCCTGGTTTGCTGCTTCATTGTGATGAAACTGCACCTGAGAAATGAAACAAGCACAGGCTTGATCATGACCAATGAATTCAACCACTATAAAATATCTAATTATGCCATTCCAAATTACAGTAGAAGCACTAAGACGAGTAAATCTGGAGTGGCTAAAAATATAAAGCTATTTTCTTTCAGAAAAGAAGATAATCTTTTTCATAGCAGTTTTTTTAACCACTTCTGTCTTGGTTATTGAAACAGATGAGCCAGTAAAAATAATCCCAACCGAATCTATACAGAAAAAAATTATGCTAGCTCTTTAGGCCAGGACCAATGTACAGCAGGGAGAAGTGACAGCTGTGCAGACACAGCTGGAAGCTGAATGGCTCCAACACAGTTCTTTTGTCTGCACCTGTATCAGGGCTGTGCTGCTTCCAGCTGTCCCTGTGCTGCAGCCGGGAGGTGGTTGCGGGGCTGGGAGAAATGGCTGTCCACCCTCAGTCTGGGTTGCTGATGTGCTGCCAGCCATGTCAGGCTGGAGCTGGGTTGTTCTGGCCCGCAGCTTAAGAGTTCCCAACCACTGCTGTAGGATATCAACTATTTTTACAAGAAAAGAATGTATGCTTGTGTGGTTCAAGGACTATCATGAGGTCAGAATTCTTTTTCCAGCTCAATCAGGTTTCCTGTGAAAGTTTATTTTTCTTTTAAAGTAGGGATGATTTATATTAACTATGTAAAAATATGGAACTCTACTCATACTTTTCAGAAACATTATTCTGTATCTACTAAACCCCATTTGAGGTGTCTACTAGACTAGCTCTTTGTATCGTGTTCCCTGCCACACACGCATACTCCCCCATTGAATCCACTAACTCAAACTTCTACCATTGCAGTATGAAACTGTAGTTGAATAAACTTCATAGATTCATAGACATTAGGGTTGGAAGGGACCTTGGAAGATCATCTAGTCCAGCCCTCTGCCCCAGGGGCAGGAAGTCTGCTGGGGTCAAAGGATCCCAGCAAGATAAATCTCTCTTAAAGGAGTCCAGAGAAGGTGCTTGCATCACCTCTGGAGGCAGTCTGTTCCAGGCCTTGGGGGCTCGGATAGTAAAGAAGTTCTTCCTTATGTCCAGCCTGAAATGGTCTTGGAGTTTGTAACCGTTTGACCTAGTCGTCCCTTGGGGTGCTCTGGTGAACAGGCGTTCCCCCAGATCCTGATGTACACCCCTTATAGGCAACCACCTATATAAGGGGTGTACATCAGGATCTGGGGGAACACCTGTTCACCAGAGCACCCCAAGGGACAAGGTCAAATGGTTACAAACTCTTCCAAGAGGACTTAAGTTTATTTTATAGTGAGATAGATAGATATTGGAAAGATTCCTGAAGTGCAACACACAACTTTACAACATTTTCTTACCATTTTATTATATGGCAGATGAGCATTTCAGTTGTCTGCTACTTAAGCTGTTTTCTAGAATTCTAATAATACCTTATATCCAGAGAGATATCTAATATAACTCACCTACAGATAGCATTCAGTTTCTGTGTACACTGCTACTCAAGAAAAGTCACTTCCCTTTTTTGGATTGCCACCTTAGTTTTATCTTGTTTGAAGCTCTGATGTCACTAACTTTCATTTTATCTAGTGGAAATGCATTATAAATAATACAGAACGTAATTAAAGTAGTATGAATCACGTGCTTTTCTCCATAAGGAACTTGTCTAATCTGCTTACTGTAACGTTACAAAAATCTTTTATACCCATTGCCTTTATTTTTGTATAATTTCTTACAAATCGTTATATTTTTATAAGGAATTTCACACTGTTAATTATGAAAATTGCCTATTTTTATATAGAATTGCTTACTACTGTATTTCTTGGTTTCATCATGACAGAGTCTAGGCCAAAGCAATTGCTTGTATATATTAATCCATATGGTGGAAAACGGCAAGGGAAGAGGATCTATGAACAAAAAGTGGCTCCACTCTTTAATCTAGCTTCTATCTCAGCTGATGTTGTTAGTGAGTAACCAGTGTTGTTCTTCAATCTCTTATTAATTTTTTTCAGCATAAATGTATCTTTTTTTTTAAGAACACAGTTTTATCCATGAATAAATCTGTGAAATTAAATAAAAATGATTTTTAGCTAGTGCATCTGTATCACTGAAGTTCACAACTTCCAGATGATATACATTACATTCTTACTACATTTAGTAAATTGTGATAGTTCTTAGCAATAAAAGGTTTTTGTTTTATGAAACATCCTATTCTTTTCTCTTTAGCTAGAGACAGATGTTCCAAAAGCCCAAGCCATTGATTCAATCTTTGCAAGATAGTCTAACCTGCAGAGAGTGAACCAGTTTGCAAGTGGATAGATGTTCGACACATGCCTGCAGTGGCTCAGGCCAGAAGCCTGGGGGCACTACACCAGCCCTTCCCTTCCAATGGGGAAGCTGAGCTGAGGGGGGTGTGGCCAGGCTCTGGCAGGTCCAAGTTAGACTAAGGAGGGGTTTAAACCCCCCCCACCTTGGCCTGCAGGGTTTGGAGGGTGAGGCATGGGCAACTGGTGCCACTTGAGTTGCCGCAAGTGGCAGCGGTTCACTGCTGGCACTTCTGGGTGAACACGATCGACCGTGGGGGGGACCGCTTCTCCCGGCACCCCCATTCCCCCGCCGGTGCTCTTGGGGGGGCACCAGCACTGTCGCTTGCCTCCCTGCCCGAGAACGCTGGCTGGCAGAGGGTGCATGTGCACCCCTGTGGACCCTCTACACCTCTCCACTGGGGTGGGGGAAGAGGGATCCTCTGCTGGTGGGGGGGAGGAAGAAGAAGAGGAGAGAAGAGCTCTGCCCATCCCAGCAGCTCCCTGACAGCTGGGAGCAATCCCCACACACAGCGCTGCCCGACCCCAGATGGGAACTCTTCCCCCTCCTCCCTCACCACCCCGGGGTGTGGAGGGGGGCTCTATTCAGTGCAGGGGGGGGCTTTTCCCCCTTCTCCTCCCTCCTCCTTCTCTTCCTTTTCCCCAAACCCCCCCTGCGGGGCAGGGAGGGGGGCTCTGCTCCATGCTGGGGTATACTCTTCCCCCATCCTCCTCCTCCCCCCAACTCCTGTTGCCAAGGGGCGGGGGCTCTGTGCTGGCAGCCCTTCCCTGGCTCTGGCCCTGGAGGGGGACACTTCTGCCCCCACTCCATGGGGCAGAGGGGGTCTGTTCAGTGCTTGGTAGGGACTCTTCCCCCCCATTCCTTTTCCACCCCACACTGTCATGGGGCAGGGAGGGGCAGCTCTTGCAATGTTCCCCAGCCTGGCCTGGCCAGAGTGTGGAGAGAGGTTTTAATGGAGCCACAGGTGCCAGGGGTGGCCTCGGCCTTGTGGCCCAGCCTGACCTGGCCTCGCTCAGCCCCGGCTAAGGCGGCCACTTGGTGGGGCTGGGCTGTGGGGGCAGGGCCACCCTGGTGGGTGCAGCTCAATGATGGGGAGGTGAGCGCAGCCAGGCAGCTGCTTCCCCTGTCAGTGAGCGGAGCCTGGCATGTGCGGTTGGTGGCTGGCTGGGCAGTGTCTTATCTGGGTGTGGGGGCAGGGGAAGGAGGAGGGGGAAAAACTACCCCCCAGCATGGAACAGAGCCCCCCTCCCTGCCCTGTCACGGCGGGGGGGTTGGGGAAGAGTCCCTATCTAGGGGCCAGGCAGCATTGCATAGAGCCCTGCCTATCCACCACATAGTGGCAAGGGGGAGGAGCAAGGGGAAGACGAGAGGGGGTCTATATGTGAGGCTGCCTGGCCTGGTCCCAGCCCCAGAGGAGGACTCTTCCTCCTGCTCCTCCCCCCTCTCCCCCTCCCGGGGTGAGGAGGGGCTCTGTGCGGCACTACGCAGCCAGGGCGCAGAGAGTTGCTGTAACAGCTGCAGCTGCAGCGGGTGAAGAGGAGGGGAAGAGTCCCCCTTTGGGGCCTGGCAGGCTTGCATAAAGCCCCTCCCCACTCCCAGCCCTGGGAGGTGGAGAGGCGGGAGGAGGAGGAGTGCACCCTCCAGAGCCCCCCTTCCCCACCCTGGGGGGAGCAGGAAGAGGGAGAAGAGTTTCCCCCCTCAGTACAGAACAGAGCCCCCCTCCCTGCCCCACGGAACATCTGTCCTGGCATAGTGCCTTAAGGCGAAGGGAGCAGGGAAAGGGGGAAATTCCTCCCTTTGTCCCTTCTGGTCCCTTCTGCCCTGCAGCCAGGGTCTGCCAGCCCTAAGGGCCAGTGCTGCAGCCCCCTCCCCTCTGCTTCCCAGCTGACAGGAAGATCCTGGCTGCCGTGGGGGAGGAAGGGAAATAGGGGAGAATTAATCCCCTCCCTGCCCACTTTGCCTTAACAGTGCCATGATACCCGGTGTCTCACCACGTCCTCTCCCTGCTTTGGCTAGAGAGGGCAGAGCCAGCTCTGCTCTGAAGCAGAGCGGAGCCCTGCCCTGAGAGCATGCTGGGATGCTAGGGGAGTCTGATTTAATTTAAACCAGCAAGGGGTCTGGGACAGACATTGCATAAAGCGGTTTGAGCCAAATCGGTTAAGTCTGATACTACGTTCAACTAGGTTTATCTCAGACTGGTTTCTGCGCACTGAATGCCTGTTCTGTTACAGGTTTAAACCAGTTTCTGATCACTTAAACCGGTTTATGTGTAATGTCTGTCCCTAGCCTTTGTGTGTAAAGCAATTTAAATCACACCCTTTGTTTATCCTGATGATATAGTTACTAACATACTGGTTCACAATGCTAGCTTTTTTATTGATAGTTAAATTAACACTTACAAAAATTAGGTTTAATAATTTCCTTGTGTAGTACATGCATTTCTCAGTTCTTTCCTTGCTTTAAAATCCATTGAAGTTAATTACTTTGGTAATTAGAGACTTTGCAGTAGTCTTGTTTTGGTTGGCAGTTGTGTTCATTTCATTATTTTAAGTTTGTGGAATTGAGCTTAATATGAAGTCTTGAGTGAATAAATATCTGTTTTATCTTTCTCTATAGTAACTGAACATGCTAACCATGCTAAGGATAACTTATTTGAAGTTAATATATATAAATATGATGGGTAAGTGATTTTATTTATATAGTGTTTTTTCCCAAAATGTGTAATATAAGGTTTAATAACATTTTTCCCCTCTAGAATTCAAGTAATCTGCTCACTACTTTTGACTTTTAATGACATGATTGGAAAAGCAGGGTTTGTGAATTACTTGTAAACTTAGATTGAGAGAGTTTGTGAATTTTAGATTTCAAAAGCAATAATTAAAGTGCTAATTTAGTGTCTAACATTAATTTATTTATTTATTTTTGAACTTGAACTTCATATGCTCAGTCAATTTTACATATATTTGTTCATCCAACAATTGAACATACTGTTTGGCTCCTAATCTCCCCTAAACAAACTTCTTTAAACACTGGAGGCTTGGATACTTAAGTATTTTGCATCAAGAGTTTTCAGCTGACTTGGGTTACTGTGTAATATTTCATATTTGTATATTTCATTTTAAAAGCCAAACATTGAAAAAGTTTAGAAACTATCAAATTTATTTACCTAAAACCATGACAACTTTGAATTGAAAATTACACCCAGCAATTTTGATTCTATACAAGGAAAATTATAAATTTGTTATAATTTTCCGTGTGTGGAATCTAATTATTGGAGGGTTGTTTCATATTTGTGCTCCCCTCCCGCTCCTGCTGTAGGAGACTAGCAGTGGGGAAAGCATAGGCAACACACAGGGGGACACAGTGGAGCATGTGCCTGACCTGAAATTGGCCACTGCAAGCTTTTGCGGGCAGTTGCCACCTCCCACTATTGACGTAGCTGAGGGTGGTCCCCACCAACAGAGCAGGTGGCGGCTGAGGGCAGTCCCTGCTTGCTGCCCTGGTGCCCCCCCAGTTGCAGGAGGCACCAATTATTCATGGTGGGAAAGCAATGGTGGAGGGGGGAGGCAAGCAGCCTGACTCCTTTGTTTCCCCCTGCTCGATTCCTGACCTGCGCTGTCACCAGCTGTGGACCCTCCACAGATGCTGTTGACTCAATGGCTCCTGACTCCAGATAGCAGCAGCTAGAGTTGGAGCCAAGGCAGCCACCTGCCTCATTTGGGGCAGTAGCATAGGCATGCTTTTTTAGTGACAATGCACAGTAGATTATTTTACTGCTCATTAGCATAATATCATGGTTTTTTTATGTGATACTTTAATGCACAGCAAAATAGTCTACCATACACTAAAGCGCACATGAAGATGTGCCCATAATCTGTTAATTATAATATATAGTAGGAAATGCCAGTGTTGCAGTACTTTGGAAATGGATTTCTGGGTAGGAAACCTTTTCCAAGCAGAGAATATAAAGTTGGATGTGTGATATATATTGAGAGAGGAAATGAGGTGATTACAAATTGTGGCAGTAGAGAATTGTTTTCATCCTTAACTGTCCATCTGTAGACTTACACTTCTGTCTGGAGGGGAAAATTTTACCAAGAGTAGTAATATTGGCAGGATTCCTTTTTGAGACTTACTTAACTTTTCATATCAAACTAAAAAGTGGTGTTTTGAACTGGTCAGATTGTGAGGGTTTTAAATATTTTGCAAAAGCCTTAATTAATCCAGGACACAGGGTCTCAAGAGGCTATCAAAACAGGCTTGTCTACTATGAACTTAAGTAAACCTAGAAACGGTGAGAGTACAGGGAATCTAAATCTGGGTACAGGGAATGGAAGGACTTTGTTATATTCTCAAATGTTTGGCATTTAAAATTCTGAATCTAGAAAAGCTGAGTGTTCCAGGTCATTTAGAGTACGAAGCCTAAATATTGTAGGCATTCTTGAAAATCTCCCCTAAAAAATAACTGGCATACGACACCACTTTGCTTGACCAGAATTCCATTTACTGCATCTCTTGATGCATAAGGTTGAAGCTAGCTTTCAATTACTGTAGTTTAGCTACTTCAGCTCCAGCATATAGGCTTGAACTCACAGCTTCCTGTTTAGTAAGGTAGTTTTGGGTTCTAGTTTTTATGCCTGTGGAAAGGGAAGCTGTATTTAGCACACTATAAAATTCTTTCCTAATTCATGTGCAAAAATCCTTACTCCCAAGTTTTTCTCCATTGTGTTTTCAGAAAGAGTAGTAGTGACTAAAAGGTAGCTCCTAAGGAGGCTTGGAATCAACCCCTAGGCAAGCCAACCCCAAGATTTCCTACAGTCTTAATAAGAAAGGTTGCTTACAGACATTGGGGGGGGGGGGGGGGGGGGGGGGACAGCCCGACTCTACTTTCAGCTTGGCGCGCCCTTTCACTGAGCACAGCACATTCCCAAAAGAGCATCACATCAGTTTGACCCAGCTCACCCAATATCTGTATAGATCTCACACTTTACCAGGGCTTTTTGGCACTTTTATCTAATAGCTAATTTTATATAGGGTATTAGATAAAAGTGTCAAAAAGCCCTGCTGCAGCGTGCAATCTATACAGATGTTGGGCAAGCTGGGTCAAACTGATGTGCTTCCTCTTCTAGTAAAGCACTGTATTTTTCCTCCCCTTCCTTCCCCCTCCCCCCATCGTTGGCACCCAGAAAGTCTACAGAGGGATATCTGTCTCTGTAATTGCTAAATAGCTTTAAAACTTTCAAATGTGATACAGGACTACATTTTAAGTGAAACTTATTTGTTATAGCTCAGACCAAAGCCTGAACCATGTGCGTGTAGGGGGATAGTGTTTTTTCCTCAATGTCTTGCAGTAATTCAGTAAATACATAATATGTACCAGGGGTGTAGGTTGTAGCTGTGTTGGTCTAAGGACATAGGCAGACAAGGTTCCTTGGGTGAATTTGATATCTTTTGTTAGCCCAACCCAAATAGTTGGAAAATAGTTATTAAGCAAGCTTTCAAGTTCAAAAACCCTTCGTCAGGCTAAGGAAGTTTCAGCAGTTGGTATGTGCTCTTCCTGGATGGAATGAAAAATATGTACCATATTTTCTTGCATATAACACACCCCCAAATAGAATATGTACCTTATTTTTTGAGAGGTAGAATGAAGAAAATTTGTTTTCCAGTGTTATGATTGCAGAGAGCAGGGACAGAGCCCACTCTTCGCCTGATTCACTCTCTTTTTCTTGAATAACTAAAGCTAAAGGCTGGTCTTGATGGGTGGATATATGATTTTGAAAAGAGTTTGTGCTAAAGAGGGTGTGAAATAGAAAGACCAGGAGCAGCTAGAAGATGGCAGAATTGCTCTAAAGGAGGTTAGCTTGGCTGGCAGAACATCTAGACCATTAAAAAGGAGAGACAATAGATAACATCCGTAGAGTGAGGAACAATGATCCATTAAGTCAATTAAGTCCATCAGCTACCTGAACAGTAATACAACTGGAGCACTGTGAAGCAGGAATCGGAGTGAAAACTAGCTTTAAAGCAGTAAAACAGTGCATATCCAATCCTGATCTTGCCAAGTCGTATTATTCCCTCTGTCTGGGAAGCTCCCACTTATTTAGACTACATCTGTGGAGTGTCTTTGTTTTCTCTCCTTAGGTAGTTTCCAATAAGAGCATTTTTGAGAAGAAAGACTGGTAACTGAATGTTTAGTATTTGTTTTGAACTCCTGTCTCCCAGATTTGGAAAAACAAGGCTTGCAGGTTGGAGGCAGGATACAGGGTGCTTGAAGCTTTCCCCATAATCTTCCAGGTACATGCTTGAGGATGGTTATCTAAATGAACTGTATGAAATTCCTGTTTGTTCTTTCCACTACCCTTATTCCATAAGACCAGTATAGTCATATAATCCACCAAAGTAATACAGGAGTAACTTTCTCTTCACTGCCTGGCTCACTGAGGAGGTCCTCATCCATCATAATGCTGAAATGAACTATCAGTGCCTGTCAGCATACAATGATGTTTTATATCCATTACACAACATCCATTTGTTCCACCCACATGCCCACTACATATGTAGCTGCTATAGATCTTCATCTACTTCACAACTTTCCCTTTTGGAAAACCCTTCCCCTCTACCTGCGTCCTGTATTTGTCACATCTGTACTACTGAACAGCATTCTCCTTGACCTGCTGAAATATCTACAAAATGTACAGTGCCGTGAGATGCCAGTTCATGGAACATTTAAAAGTAGTAGCAACCCTAGTGAGGAAACTTCACTTAAAACTCAGTGCTTCCTACATTGGCTTTCTGACCAGTTTGAGTCAAAATAATACCGTTGAGATGAATTTCAGCTCTTAGATACCGTAACTGGCCGTGAGGATTAACCTTTTGGAAGAGAACATTTATGTAGTGCTGACTCTGTACCTGCTGTTGAAGAGCTGAGTAATTTTGGCTTTGATTCTAAACCCATTCCTTCCATCCACCATGTCAGGGATCAGATTTTAAATCAAAACAGGAATTACTTAAGCATTTAACTGGCAATAGAATATCTTTTAAGGGAGTTAGTGACGCATAATAAAGCTCAGCTTTAAGAATTTATCTCTTGCTTTTTAAAAACAAGCTGTTTGACCTATATATACAGCAAGCATTGTTTTGCTCTGTAGGACTGACCCCCTGTTTAGGAACAAAAGAGGTTTCTTATGGGATAAATGTTACTTGTCTACAGCATGACTCAGTTTCTCTGCTCTATTCCAAGAGTTGGATCAGGTTGCAAATGAAGCAGTACAATGATAATGACAGAATGTAAAATGTATGAATCAACAAATAACATGAAATATAGCGTAGCAGAACAATGGCTTGTGTATACTGAATGATAGAAAGAATTTTATTCTGATCTGCCCTGTACAGTGCCTATTCTCCATTCATGTCTGTTTTGTACAGATTGCCAAACATGCAAAAGTGGCATTATGCCTATGAAATAAATTCAAAAGAAATTAAAAAACAAAATCAAGGTTCAGCCACAATCGGAAGCCATAAGCAAGCATATGACTTTTTGCTTTGGAGGCCATTGTATGTAATATCTATATTAAATGATCACTGTCAACCTAAATATTACCATTCTGTCTGCAGCTACATGTTAATTTACAAGATTTTAAAAAGGTAAGTTTAAAAAGAGAAACTTATTTCTGGTTTGTTCGTATAGTACATTAGGCAATTCTGTGTACAGTCCTGTTTCAGTGTTTTGCTTGTATTGTTAGTTTCTACTGATGTTTGCCTGTGTTTTCATACCACCAGGGGACAGAAATACAACTTTAAAAAGAGGGGAATACAATTGAAAAGCTAGTTGAAAGAGACAGGGCCTGTTTGTTTCCTGAAAATGTAGCTTTTTGTTTTGTGTGTTTTAAATTGAGTATTTTGAGTTGACTGTGGCCACATTTATGACTAATAAAGGCTAAGGAAAACAAAAGTGACTTTCTCTGACAAGTTTATATGTGCTCTAAATAAAGCATTAAATGTGTTGTTTATTGATTGTTAGCATGCACTCTAATTTGTGTTTTCTGGCAGTATTGTTTGTGTTGGTGGGGACGGCATGTTCAGTGAAGTGATGCATGGTCTAATTGGAAGAATACAGAAGGATTCTGGCATAGATCAAAATAATCCCAAAACGCCGCTAGCCCAATGCAGTATAAGGATTGGCATAATCCCTGCTGGTAAGATTGCAAAAGGGTTAACTTTAAGTTTATTTTATTCCTTTATTAGCTTTTTGTAGCAAAGCCTACCTCTTAAACAGTATGAATAGTAATACTCTATGAAGATGCCCACAGAAGTTTAGTGTCACAGTATACCTAGTGTGACACTACATTCTTTTTTGCAAGTGGTTTTTATCAAGAGAAATCAACATTTAAGTATGCTAATGTTTTTGCTACTAGAGCACCTAGGAGGTGCTCTCTTGCTTTAATGTGCTGGCAAGCACCAAAACACTGCCAAATGAGAGAGATACAAACCCATACTAACACATCAATATATCTGGAAGCACCAGGGAATAAAGTCTGTTGATTAGAAGCACATCTACTAAATACTTTGTTCTGATGCGAAACTCCCTGTGACAAGGGTTGGCAATGTCTTCTAGTGACGGGGGAGGTGGGTGGCTTTAAGTTCAAGCCACTGCCACAACTCTCTACTACTCAGGTGCCGTGCTCATGGAAAAAGGTCCCTCTCTCCTCACTAGAGTCTATGCTGCTTGGCCACAGCAGGGCACAGGCAGAGCTCCCCTCTGACAGAGCCCCAGGGAGTTGACTGCAGTGTGGTATAGGGAGAGCCCCCAGTTTCCAAATGTGGAAGACATGGCTAAACAGCCATGGGTTGCTGACCCCCGCCACACAACATGAAGTGGAAAGGTAGTACTTTATTTGAATTCATCATTTGTAAACTCCATGCAAACAGTGAATTTGTGCAGTACTCACACCTCCTTTCTTGCAATTTCTATCACAGTCCAGACCACTGATGTATAAGTCTACAGGTTCCAGACACAAATGCACTTTGTCTTTGTTTTGTAGTTAAACACCCTCCGTTAACTCTCCTGTATGCCTTTAAAACACTAGTCAGTACTAGTTCCCTATTGCAGTCACCTTCTCGGGCCTTTTTGCCAGTGACTGGTATCGATCAGAATTATTCCCTTGGAGTTCAGTCCCTAAGTAACAAACTAGTTTCACCAACAAATGTTATCTGAAAGGGTTGCTTTCTGTGGTGCTTGAAGGTTAATGACCCAGAAGGCAAAAAAAGTAAAGATCCCAAAGGGTCCCCTCAAAAGAGTGATCTGATACTTTGGCTTTAGTACAGGAGTCAGTATTAGTAATGAGTAGGGATAGCATTAACATGGCAGGAGGTGGGAACAAATGTCCAGGGAAGGGACAAGACTGACTTGTTGGGCTGATCAGTTATGCAACAGAATTAAAGAATGGTTATAAGAGACAGATCACTTGGTGCCATTTAAAAGTAAAATCTCTGAAATTCTTATTTATTGTACATTGACAATACGTTTCTCAATTAGATGAATATATATATAGTTCCCCTTCCTTTCTTTTTTTGGTTAGGGAAACTTTCTATTGAATTGAATCAGGTATTTTTCTGCTTAAGTTTCCAGCTTTGAAAATGCTAATCTACCTAAACAAGGTATGGTTAACTGCCATTTAACACTACAGTTGTGCCTCTTTCAAAAGTGGAGGAAGTAAGACTTTAGAAAGAAGTTGATTAGCCCTTTACCTTCCTGATATAAATGGATTGATTTATCACCATTTTAGGTTAGTGTCTGTAAAAATATCTTGACTTACATCAAACAGTACTTAATGTCTTGGATCACTTCCTTGTGCTATATCCTTTATAGTCTGTTTGTCATAGATGAAAGAGCTGTTGCTTTCTTTGTTGTCTCCTGTATAGTCCAAGTGATCTGCTGTATGAATATATATTGCATACACTAGTCATGTATTACTTGTAAGGCTGTAATTCATGCTGATAATTGCATAACATAGTTTTAGAGATTTTTAATTTTGTCTCTGGATAGTGATTCTGGAAAAAATTTAATTAACATGTTTAAACCTAAGGGTTGTTTGTTTGTTTGTTTTAATATCTTCTGAAGAATATCCTAAAATGAACATACTTTCTTGCATACATTTGAGAAAGTGTGTGTTGGGTTTTTTAAGTGTAAAGTTACTTCTTAGCTTCTCCTTTCCTCCCCACCCCCAAAGCAAAGGAAGGAAATAGATGCAGACTATATCTACCTCCCTCATGTTTTAACTAATCAATTTGATGTACAAATCTTTCACCTCTCATTTTGAGGTGCTCCTGCATGCTGAAAGCCAGATGCCAGATACATCCTGTCAAACTTTTGGAAAGGTTGCTAGAATTCTCTACAGCCCTTGGTGAAGCCACTGACAGTGGTACTTTACCTGATTAGAGTTTCTGTAGCTCACCCACCAGGGAGCATAACATAGCTGTTAACTTCTTCGAAAGAAGCAAGGATTTTTGAAAGTCTTTAATTGGAACAACTGTATGGTTGGGAAAGATGTTATATGCTCTCCCAAGCTTTCTGACATGAACATCTCTCCCAATCATATGGTTGGTACAGTCAAAGATATCACCAAAAAGCCTTATTTTTCTCACATTTATGGACCAATATGGCTACAACACCACTCGGACTTCTCTGACATACAGACAATAATATTTACTTTCATACTGAACAGTTCTCCATTTGGTTACAACACATTTTCTGCCTCTTTATGTATCTTAGGGGCAGCTATGGAGAGACTGTTAGCTGTTTTTGGATTTTCAAATACTTTGTCTGGCATGATACAAGATTTAAGTTATGTATTGCAAATGCTTCAAATGAGAATTAACATACTGAAGTAATGTATGTTCCATCCTGTTTTGGGACAGAATGAAAACACTATTAAAAGGTACCAAATTTTGTCCAGGCTTCCCAGTGGGCACATCTACATGTGTGCATTTACTGCACAGTAACAAAAATGACTCCACAGTACAGGCGCACGTCTGCACATGCACGCCTGTACTGCACAGTAAATATGGTGACTTACACTGACTTGAGCATAAATTTGATACCTGCATCATGCAGGTATCAAGTTTACACCTGATTAGTTACTGCACAGTAATGCACATGTAGACTCCTTACTGCGCAGTTACACTGTGTATGTGTACTGATTTGGGACTAACTTGAGTCCTAAGTCATTCCACACAGTGTTAATGTGCTTTAACACCTGCACATGTAGACACTGGCCTATTTCCACTTCCTGCACAGTCAATTTAAGCCAGCATAACTGGGCGTGTCTACACGTGCATTTACTAATAATAGAAGTTGTCTCGGGGAATTCAGAATTGGCTTCAGTTGATGCTGAAATGATTTAGGACTAGAAAATATGAGTTGTAGAAGGAAACTATTTTAGCTGAAAATTTGTACTTAATTAACTCTGTTCTTATGGGAAGCTTTTCTCCCAAAAACTTCCTTTGCATGTTTGCACCATTTTTGTATTTATTATACCTGTCCATTACATGGCTAGTAAAAGGATCTTAGACATCAAATACTTTTAACCCACATGGCTTTTAAGGAAATTATGTTTTTAAACACCATTAAAAATCAAAACTGCTGTTTAAAATGTTAATCAGTAATATATTATGAACAGTGAACAATTTTATATAATTAGTGAATAAGCATATGTTGACATCTGACCACTTGCTCAATTGTTTTCACAACTAGCATATTTCTTTGATATGTCCTTTGGTTAAAAGATCACCAATTATACTTCATTATTTAAGGAATAAATCAATATACAAACTTTTGCATTTACTAGCATGAATAAAGCCTACTATTCAGACTGCTGCCCTGGCGGCTGAATTTCCATATTAATTAACTGCAGTTGTCCTACAAATCTGACCCCATGAATCAATATGTGCTTGTCTATCACAACACTCTAAGTCTAGTTCACTGTAAAATAGTAACAGCTTGACAAAAGGTTTTTACTTTGATCCATTCTTACTCCTCTGCAGTCTGTTTTGGACAATAAGATTACTTTCTCTTAAGTGTCATCCAGCAGGCTTGAAGAAAAACGAATGTGGTGTGATTTCCCCCTCCCCCCCAAAGTAGAGCTGTATCCAGAGAGCAGTAGTATTTTTCATAATTTTTAAGGCCAGATGGGAATCTCAGATAGTCTTGTCCAACTTTCTGTATATCATATGATATATGCCATTAAGTATCACCTACAAATTTCCATAAGTCTAAAAACTTTACACTAAAGTATTTCAGTCCTCAGGCTAAACTAATTGACTCAGGAAAAGAATAGGAGAGAGCAAAGTGCCACCACAGTCTATGGTACCTGCAATGACAGAAAGTTGCTCAGGGAAGACATGTTCATATGATTTTTGTGGTAGGTGGGTGATCCTTGCTTATCCTTGAGAAAAATGTACTTCCAATGAATCTGAGCATGGGGCAAGACTCATCCGCCACGCATCTAGAAAAGTGACTTGCTGTGTCACCTTAAAGCTTTAGTTCACATAGCTATCATCCTACCTTTTTGCTGTGACCAAGCTCAGATACTTAAAAGGAAGGCAAAAAAACAAACAAAACATCTAGCTATTTATTTTATTTCTTTTTTTTTTTAAACCTAATGCTTAAAGTCCTTCAGGATCCTGGCAGGTAACTGGCTGAGGTTAGATTTCTCTGACTTCAGCTTCTATCTTTTTGCTCTTTTTTAGCAAGATTAAAGGTCTTGGATATGGAAAAAAGAATTTTATGTACCTATATGCAGTAGCCAAGTGACCTCTTCTAGATAAGCTTCATAAGTTGAGCTCTTTGGGTCTGGTAGTAAAGCTTGCTTTTAAGCCCCTGGATCATTGTGTGATGTTCCTCTCAACTGTATTATTTCCATGCCCTGGAAATAAGGGCATCAGATCTGGTTGCTGTCTTTTCATTGTAGTAATACTATTACTGTAACAGTGGCAAGATCCCTTTCTTGTTTCTAGTGTAATTCCTTCTTCCATACTTCTCTCTTTCTTTTTGCCACAGCATTGGACTGAGGTAGTTTATAACTGTTCTTTGCTGCAGGAGGCAGAACAAAGGCTTCTAATTATAGCAGAGATGATTTAGATTAAGTATTGGAACTTCCTTACTATTAAAACAGTGTGGTAGTGGAATACAGGGCAT